AAAGTAGTATATAAAACAAGAGGTTTGGGTCAAAATTTTGACAATTAGAATCCTAACAGGTTATAATTCTGACAAAAAAATTCTAAAAGCTAAAAATTTCAACAATTAAAAATTCTAACAATTAAAATTTCAACAATTAAAAACTCTGATAAAAAATATAATAAACTATAGCAAACTCTATTCCAACTATTATTTAAAATGATTTAACTTTAAAATTAATTAAATTATAAGAGCCTATTTCACTTTAAACATATTTTATACTTGAAAATTTTCTACTTAAAAATTCTGGCTATCAGGATTTTTAATTGTCAGGATTTTTGACTATTAGGATTTTTTTGTTAGAATTATAATTTGCTAGAATTCTGTTTGTCAGAATTTTAATCTGCATTCAAAACAAGTTGTACTTAAATACTAATAAGATAACTGGATAGTACTAGACTTAGTTATTAAATATATTTATATAATTACAAAAGTAATTTTAAAAATCATAATAAAATATTAGTATAATTGTTTAAAAAAAACTACAGTTATAATTATAATACAACTTACTAATATATAAATTAAAATATATATTATTTTAGCAAATTTGTTTTTAAAAATAAAATAATTTTAAATTAGGCATATAAAAAAAATAATAAAATATATTTTTGCTTGGTTAATTTTTAAAATATAGAAATACTAAAAGTTTAAATAAGTAACTTTTTAATTAGATTAGAAATACAGTATAATAACTAATATAAAAATTCATAAGCAAATTACTTAAATTAAATAATTAAAAGTTATATATAGCTAGTTATACTTTATAAATATGTAAATAATAATAAAATTTGTAATAAATAAATACATTAAACCAAATAAGAACAATTAACTAAAAATTATTTTAATATTGAAAAAAAATTTTTATACTTTAATTTTTTTTTTTTTTTAAACTTAAGCAATCATACTAGTACTTTATTATAATTCTTAAAATTACTTTTGCAATTATATAGATTTATTTAACAACTAAGTCTAGCATTACTCAGCCACCCACAGAGTACCTAAGTGCAACCTGCTGCACTACTTCAAACAGAAATAGGCTATTTGTCTGACTACTTAAAGTCCATAGTAAAAGGGTTTTCTTTCTTTCATGATAAGCTCCAATATTGTTTTTCTAATTTTTTTATTAATTCTATCCTTTTTCTCTTTTGCTTGTTTCTTTTCTTCTTCAATCTTCTGCTGATTTGCCTTTCCTTTTTTTTGAATTCTTCTTTTTTACTTCCTTTTTCTTTATTTTAGTTGTTATGCCTTCTTTTTTCTTTTATTCATTAATCTTTTTGCATTGTATTCTTCACATCTGTTCATAGAACATGTCTCATGCTGTTCTTGATACTGTTTCTACAAATTGCTGTCTTGCCTTTGTATTTAGAAGCTGTGTTAGTCTGTCTTATGTCTTTTTCAGAATTAAACTTTTGATTAAAGCTCCTTACATTTCTATTTTTTTTGCTTCACTTTTTCTAAAGAGTGCTGTATATAATACATATAGCAGAATGCAAGTTTTTTCTTTTGCTTTTAACCCTTTCTAGGCTGTTGCAATAGCCACTTTCTGGATTTGTTTCCAAAGGCTCTGTTGTCCTTTGCATAATGCTAGATATAACTGTGTTTCTTTAACTTTATCTTGACATACTTGGCACTCTGTTATTGTATATACATCTGGCCTTCTTCTATTAAGTTCTTTTAGAATTGAAAGTTTATTTATCATGCATTTTATAAATGCACATCTTCTTGTAATGCAATGCACTCCTTTAGTTGTTTTTAGTCTTCTTCAAAATTGTATTCAGTTATAAATCATAATTTCTGTTTTCAGTTCTAATTTTCTAATTGCATTTGTTTCTTTCTATTCTGCTCCTAATTTCATGTTTGTTACTATTTTGTATAACAATCTTGCTAATATATCAGTTCATTTGTTTTTCTACTCTAGGCAGTACTCTATCTCTTTACAACTGACTTTCTCTATTTGTATTTCTTTATTACTTATTGTTTCCTTCTTTGCAAGGTTATCAGCTTTGTTATTTCATTTATTCTTGCTATAACTTTTAACTTTTACTAACTTTATTTGTATACTCTTTGTGTTAATTAGATTTATAATCTTCATTATCTATTATATTTTTTTTCTTAAGAATTTTCATTCTATTTATTTGCTCTAAACCTTTACTAATATTTCTTATTGCAGCATTACTGTTTGTATATATTTCTACTTGTCTTACTCTTAGTATTGTTAGGATTGCTACCTATATTGCTAGTTCTAATGATGTTTCTTTTTCTGGCCACTTATGCATTTCATTTGTTTGAATCCATTCTATATCTATGCTTTTGCTTCGTGTTTCTTCTTTGGTCTTTACATTTGCAGCACCATCTGTATATATAATGTATTTGTTTTTGTTTCTTGATATATTTCTTCTTAGTGTCTTTAAAATTTCTTGTTTGACATTCTCATTTAGTTTCTGTCACTTGATTATTTCTATTTTTAACTCTTTTATCATCATTAGTCCTTCAAGTTTTTGCTCATTGTCTTTCAATTTTTCTGTTTTTACTTTTTCTATCAATTAGTCCATAACTATCTTGAACTTGCTATTTCTCATTTTCATTAATGTATCAAAGATCACTCTGATTTTGTTGTTTACTCTTATCCATTGCTAGCAAATTCATTCTTTCTGTTCTTCTTCTTCTGTATATTTATTACATCTGTTAATTCTTGTTGCTATTTCATTCTCTTCATTTTGCATTTGCCAATGCTCTAATAGGACCTTTTTCTTTTTCTTCTTTATTATCTTTCCTAATTGTCTATTATCTTATATATAGTATATTATTCATTCTTTTTTTTTTTATCTTTTGATATAGTCTTCTATATTATTTTTATTGCTTGCGTATTATGTTTGTTTGTCTTAAAGTGTCCTTTGATTTTCCTATTTGTTGGCTCTTTAAGCACTATGGACTTTATTTCTTTAAACCATTTTGCTTTTTTGCCTTTACTTGAACATTCATTAAAGTTTTTAAATTGTTGCTATATAATTAGCTTTTTCCTTTTTATATCGAGAAGTTGATTTAGGTAGATTAGACCTGCTTCATTTATCTTTATTCTACTTCTTTTCCACAGTTGTGTTTCTAATAGTTTTTGTATTTTAGTACTATATCCAAATATTCTCTATAAGCTACTTTTTATCCTTATGCTTATCTCTAGCTCTCTTGTTTTTATTATTGTCAGACATGCTAAGTTGTTCTTTTAATATACTTTGTTAGCTGGTATTTCTTCTAACTTCTAAACATCTTCTGTCAACCCTGCTTTTTGGCTTATTCTTAGCTTCATTAACTGACCTAGGCTATCTTGTCTGTTCAGTCTTAACAGTAAGCCACTTATTTGCTTTATTATTAGCTCTTGTTGTAGTGTTCTATATCTACTGAGGTCTTTATATTCTATTATGCAATTTTCCAATATTTTTTGCAGATTGCTTTTTTGCTTTGCTAGACATATTATTAGTTAATGTATTTTACATATTCTCTTTTCTAAGATTTTAGTCAACTGGAGCATGTAGCTTAGTTTTGGAATTATTACTATATTGTTTATATATATGATCTAACTTGTTGTCATCTTTTTGTATTTAAGGTCTTTTATTGTTTGACTAACTATCCCTTTAGCTTTTCTTTTAGCTAATACTTCTCATATTCTACTGTTTAGTTATATTTTCAGTAACCAAACAATTTTGTTTCTTGGTGCTTCTTTTATACTGCTTTTGCTAAAAACTACTTCACTTTTTTCTCTTTTAACCTTTATGTTCATTACTAGCAACTTTGATTTTGATCTGTTAATTTCTATATCATTTATCTTGAAAAACTCCTTGACTATTTCTAGAATCTTTAGTAGCTGGCCTTTGCTGTTTGCAATTTATGTTGTGTCATCTGCATATGCAATTGCTGCTTGGCAAAATTTTGTGACATTATTACATTGCATTTCTTCTTTAATTTGTTATTCAACTGTATATTCTAGACTTTCATCTTCTTGTATTTTCTTTAACAATAGATTATAGAAAAGCTATCATATTAATGATGATATAACTTTTTCTTGATCTATTCTGTCATACTTTAATTGTTTATTAATAACATTTTAATAAATATTTAATAAAATTTAAAAGTAAAGATAATGTAAATCATTTGGCATATGATTTTTTTAACAAATAAAATTTTATATATAAAAAAAAATATTATTAATAAAACTTTTTAGTATTATATTCAATTGTTAACAAAATTTAATAATATATAAAATCCCAAGTGGCAGGTCTAGTATTCAAATCTCATAAATAGCAAAATTTGAATAATTATACCTGTATTATAGTAACTATATTTCATTGATCAGTTGGATAGAAGAAAAAGATCTGTAATTTTAGGCATACTATTTTGAATAAGAGCTTAGAGCATTTATGCAAAGTGTAATGTTAAATAACTAATATTATATAAAACTTTAGTGCAAACCTATAATAAGACTACTGAATATATAACTTTAAGAAATCAGAGCATAAAAATCTGCTTAGAAATCTCAAATAAAGAGATAGCATAAACTTTTAACAATATTACTAAACTATCAAAAGCTTTAAAAAAAATAACTAGGATAGAACAGATGACAATATGTGTAAGGAGCATATATCAATCAGACTACTAGAAATTGCTAAAAGAAAAGAATCTTAGAATACTATATCAGGCTATCTGAAAAAGAAAGATATCAGAGTTTTAGTAAACTTTACAAGAATATAGTGATTTAATGATTAGCTTTAACTACAAATGATTAGGGATGTTAAGTGGTGCATCTGGTCAGGTCCCAGTCCGGTATCTAAAAAGTTCAGTCCAGGATTAGTTAAGGGACTAGTTCACCCTCTTGTTAAAAAAGTATTCAAAACCAATCCAACCCCAGCAGTTTAATATAAATTTTGTAATACCTCATTACAAACTTTATTTTATAATGTTATAAAATACTAATCTGAAAGTTCAAAATTATTTTTTACTATTCCTGCATCATACCATGTTTTTAGACAGAAGCTATCACGAACCTTTTCATCATCCAAATGATTTTGCACTGCATTTATTGTATGCTTGGCAAGTGAAAAGGCCTGTTCGCTTGAAATACTAGTTGCTTGAGCAACTAGATAATTCTGAGCCATGTTAACAAGAGGTGCCCACTTTAAATTCAAAGATTTTGACTTTCAAAATGCAAGAACATCAACATTTTCATCAGGCCTATCCAAGTATTCATTCAAAATATTACAACTAATTGACATATCATCATATGTCTGTTTTAGCTGATTCTGAAAATAATTATAAGCCAATATTAATTGATTTATTTTTACTGATAAAGCTTGCTTATTTATTTCTTTATCAAGGGGGGCATAGCTTTGATAAGTTTGATTAATTATTTGACATACATTGTTTTTTTTCAGAACCAGAACGAAAAGAAGAAAATTTGAATGATGGATCAAGCAATACTGATTCTGAAAGGGCAGATTGTAATTTGTTCCAATATTTATTAAGTTTTTCAAGAATTTTTATCGAAATACATGATTTCATCAAATTTTCTTCATTTTTAGCTTCAGTAAGATGGGTAATAATTACAAAGAAAATGGTATGCACGTCTCCGATGGTTGGGTGGGTTGAAGAGGAAAGTAAATTGGTAGCTTCATAAATAGGTTCTAGCAATGTCATTACGGCTTTAATATTATCCCAATCTTGATTATTCATATATTGTTGTTTAAGATTTGGCATTGAAACAACTAAAATATCTGTTATTTCTTTAATTTTATTTAATTTTTTTAATATTAAATATAAGGAATTCTATCTCATTTCACAGTCAAGCTCAGGCATTAAAAAAGGTTAACCTTTCATTGCAAAAATTTTTTTTAATTCTTTAAGACAGGGTTGGGAACAGCGAATGCAGCTTGCAAATTCTTGTGCTTTTTTAGTTAACTTATTAATTACAGATAAACCGTTAATGACGGCGAGATTAAGTATATGAGCAGCGCATCGCAATCTGCAAAAAGAAGTATTGCCATAATAAAAGTCCAACATACTAGCAAGATGTTGACCACAACAATCTATGTTGCTAGCATTATCAGCAGTTATTGACAGAAGTTTTTTTCCAAGACCAAATTCTTCAATTAATTTAAAAATCATTTCAGCCAAGAAACCACCTGTATGTCATTCATGCAAAGGAATAAAATCTAAGCGTATACGGCGTAACTGCCAATTATCATCGATTCAATGCAAGGTTATTGAGAGAAATGCCTGGTTTGTGCATGCGGACCATGCATCTGTTGTAATTGAAACTTTGTGCTCAAAACTTTTAAAAAAATTATGCAGTTGGCTGTGTTTTCTTTTATACAACCACCAGATGTGAATCGAAATTGTTTGTCTAGTAGGAATTTTATAACAAGGGTCAAGCTCAAAAACAAACATTCAGAAATCTTCATCTTTAACTACACAAAATGGTTGTTGATTACAAACGATCCAACGTACCAAAAGTCCATTCAATCTTTTAACTTTTTTTTCGTCATAAATGCCGTAATGAATTACAGCTCATGAAGCTAATTGACATTGGTAATATTCAGTAATATGGTTACTTTCGAAGTGCCGTTTGACTGTACTAATTCCAGTTTTTAAACCATATTTCGTAGAACACAGGTTACATTGGATATTTTTTTTATCTAAAGTTTCAGTAAAGTAACTCCAAAGAGGATGCGTGTTTTTATCACATTTGAAAGTTTGTTCAAAGGTAGGTGTAATAACTTGTAAGTGTTCAAAATTATTATTAAAAGACATGATATCTAATATGATCTTGTAAGAATTGAATTTTATTTAAAGCAGTATTTTTTATACTTTGTATTAACAAGAGAAATGCGAATTAAAGGTACGTGACAAAAGAACAATTGTAATTAATTATGTAAAGGAAATTTAGACTAATGCCATTATAGCCTAATGTAATTGTAATGTAATCGTTCAAACAATTATGATAGTAGTGGTAGCTAACATTGTGTGTTTCGCCAACATCATGTATCAGCATATTTTGATAATTAATGTAAATTATATTCATCCTTTCATGGTAAATCAAAATGAACAATCGTCGTTGAATAAGACAAGGAATTTGTACTAAAAAAACTTTATATAACCTAGTGTGATTACGCAATTATTAATTGAGAAATAAAAAACTGTAATAAAAGCCTACTAATACTATAATATTATGCCATAATTATCATGCAATTATTGACCAAAAAGTGAAAAAAAACTAATCAAAATTATCGATACTTACTAATTATAATATTACGCTATAATTACTGAACTATTATTGATCAAAAACTTTGATTTTAGCAATCACCAAATTAAATCATGCACGTGAATTACCAATACTTAAAGAGTATCATTTTTGATTCAAATTTTATTAAATTTTATTTAATATGTCAAAAATGACACTATTTATATCATATGATAGTTGGAACCGGTTTTTTGGACCAGTCCTGAACTAGTCCCTAAAAAATCTGGTCCAAACCCAGTCCGAACTAGTTTACCCTGGACCACTTAACATCCCTACAAGTGATGGCCTAGGCCAGAATAATATTAGGTTAGCTGTAAATATAGAATACAAAAAGCTCTGATAGACTTAGTATAAAGTTAAATATGACTTAGTAATTATGATATATTTGCAGATTAACATTGCAATTGATAGGGTAAAAGTGAATATAGGAACTAAAGTATTTAAATAAAAAACTTACAAGTAGGTTCTAAATATGACAACTAGTATAGAACTTTTAGATGAACTACTTAAAATAAACAATGACTAAAGTTGTATAAATGGCTAATTGTATACTCTTTTCATGATTGCCTCTGTAGCTGTTGTATACAATAATTATATACTGACTGATAATTAATAAACTTCTGGATTGCAATTACTTATCTTAATATTAAAAAAATATATATATATAAATCTAAAACTTTTAATTATTTTAATAAAATTTTATAATTTATTTTAGTTTAAAAAAATTACTTTATATATTACTAAGTTTTCCTAAGTTAGCTTATAAATTTTCTAGATCATATAAGATTTATATAAAAAATTTGTGTAATATAAACAAAATTTTATATATAAATTATATAATATTATATGATTTACTATATAATTATTATTAAAAATGATCTATATCACCCTACTTTTAATAATTTTTTATTTTTTTATTTTAAGATAATTTCTTTAGTTTTTTTGATTTTTATTAATATCTTTTTTAGTAATATAATTCTATGAACTATTACAAAAAGAGTATACAATTGGTTATATATATAATTTTTTTATATTACTTATTTAAAGAGTCTGTCTAAAGATTTTTTATCAATTATTATATTTAATATTCTTGCTTAAGTATTTTATTTTAAATTTTCTGAATTAGTAATTTGTATTAATATTACTAAATTATATTTAGATTATTATTTTAATCTTAAAATTATTTTATATTTAAAATAAACTTTTTAAAATCTTCTGTACCTATTTTTACAACTGATCTAATATTGTTATAACAGAACTAATATTTGTAATTAGAGTATTTTATTTAATTGCTATAATTTTATAGAGTTTACTTGTATTCTAGTATCTATTTTACAACATATTCCTAGTACTTTAGTATACTTTTGCCTGTTTTATAAACTTTTAATTCAGATAAATTATATAGAACTATAACTAGTTTATCAATATATCAGATTGACTTGATATTCTTTTTTTTAGTTCATTTCAACAGTCTGGTTGATAGTACTTTCTATTTAAAGGTTCTTACCTATTCAGATATTTTGATATTAGTATCTGTTTCTAGTCTAATTTTTACAATAACATTATCAAAAATCTATACTACCTTTCTACTTAGGTTTTTTCAAATAAACTTTTTGTTTCTTAATTTTAATAAATTTATACAACCACAAGAACTTATTTGGAGTTTGCACTATCTAATATTAATTTGTATTCTTTTGTATAATCAATTATATAGATAACCTATAACTTGTAGTCATGTTAATATAAATATTATTACAAATATCTTAATTTAATAATTAGAAACAGTTGTTATAATACAAGTATTATATAAGTAATTATTTAAATTTTGAATGTTAATAAAATTTAAATAACTAATTTATTACTTAGAAGGTTAACAACTTATCTATTTTACTAAATCATCATATTTTTAATAATCTTTTTTATTTAAATTTTATAATTTAAAATTTAAATAAAAAAATATCAAATTTTATAAAGTATAATCGAACCTTAATATAATTACTAAGTTAGTAACCAAAATGCAATATAACTAAGATGATAATGCTTATGCAAAGATTAATTTTTATATGCTTTATACTAGTTGGTAAAATGAGAATAGAATTGGTTTTATACTTTATAACTATATCAAGAATGACTATATAAAGGTCTGACTGTATTATTAAGATATCTTTAATAAAATTTAAAAAATTTTATTGTAATTTATATTTGTCATTTAAATATTTTTTAAAGGTCTTATTATAGATATCTTAACAAACATTAAATAAGATTTGAACTTTTTTATTTGAATTCTATATATTTATAATATTCAAATAAAAAAAGTTTACCAAATTTTATTAAATAATTATTATCTTTGATCAAAATTAGGAAAAATCTTGTCATAACTTATATTCTAATAGACATTTAAAACGTTGAAGATATTTCAACAACATCCAATGAAATTCGATAAACTTCTTTTATTTGAATTTTATACATTTGTGAAATTCAAATAAAAAACGTTCATTGAATATCATTGGGTGGTTATTGAGATATGCTCGATCAAAGTTGTAAAAAAAACGATTTATATAGGAGTAAAATTATCACAAATGGGGTCCGCGCACTATAGTAAATTATTTTTATTTAAGTTTTAAAACAACCTTATTAAAAAATTGTTTAATTTCTATTAACATTCATATAATTAAATTAATTCTAATTTAAGCAGTCTATTTAAAATTTTTATACATACGTACGTACTATTTACTACCCTTTATTTTTTAAAAAGATAATTGGTTACACATAATTAATTCATACGTATTTATAACCAGCTGGTCAAAATTTTGTTATATGTACGCACATATGTTTTAATAATCGGGTAGATTTTTATATATATAATTAAAAAATTAACTTTATTTAAAATTTGATTATTTTTCATGCCTGATATTATTAATTAATTAATCTTACAAATATATTAAATTAAAAAAAAAAAAAAACAGAATTTGACATTCCAAATAGTTCTTTTAGTAACGTATTATTTTGTATACAGTCAAATAATACTGTATGTATATATTACGTATACGTATTATAATTAATCATTGCTTTTTTTTTATTTATAATATTAGTGGTTAACTTACTAAGAGTATGTATGCCTATTTACAGAAGAGGTCCAATTGGATTTGTCAAATAATTTAGTCAACACCAATGAGGGATCGCTTGTAATATGGCCAAATTAGAAAAAATCCGAGTTGTTTTCTCAATTTACCTATGATATTGGTGGCACTATTTATCACTTCCAGCGAAAAAGAATGCCAAGAGCCACAACCTTAAATAAACAATTTTATCATATTTTTTATTTTTTTTACTTTACCAGTAAAAACATTCGGGTATTCTAAAACAATATTAATACATATGTAGTGATCATTCTTTTTGTTTCAGGTCCTAACGTTAAATATTCATTGTTTATCTTTAATACCGTGCAACCTGTTATTACATGTTTATCTTGTTTTTTTATTAATATATAATTAATTTTACGATACGAATAAAAAAATCTGGATTGAACATTGACAAGCAATGCATTTACAATTTGTAATTAAGTAGGAGAGACTATTTATAAATGTTAACAAGAATCATGCCTGTTCAAACCAGAATATCATATTAATGATCAAATGGTACGTCGTCTGACCAGGTCATTGAAAGATTCACCAGAAAAGGATAAGAAAAGTCTAAAAGCGTCGACAATTTCCCAAAGTCACATTATCGTTGTTTGATTGAAAAAACACTTTATAATTATAAATTTCTTTATTATATACAAGCCACAATTATTAAAGTATGTTACAAAAATACCAATCATTTTGATTACATCGAAATGCTGGGTGTAATATTTGTTGGGTGTGAATACATCTGTCAAAGGAAGGAAGGAGGAGATCAATCTAATAGCATTCATTGTCTGATTCAATACAGAAAAGATAACACCCGCCATCATAATTCCATTTCAATATATGGATAAAGAATGATTTACCTCACATTTATTCTGCCATGAAAAACGATTCAATTTGACAATGCGAACAAATGTGCATGCATGACATTGGTCCAATAATGTAATGGTATCGCTTGTGGCGCAACTTGATATCATTCACTTGAGCACCAGTCATAAACATTTGATTTAGTATCACTATCGGCTCAATATTTGCAGAAACATTCGGCCATGGTTTAAAGAGCCGAGCAGAAGGTTAAACCAATAAATAAAGATGAGGGGTTCTTGCAGGAAGCAAATACTAATAACACAACGACAAATGAACATCTTAATCCGAATATGTAAATTGATACATGTCACATAATACAAACATTTATTCTTAAAAACTCAAATCTTGTTAATTCCCGCCAAAAAAAACATGATGTGATTTGTTTCTCCAATCAAATGACTACTAGCATACATTTAAAGGGTCTCGCTTCCGAATCGGCAATTTGTCGTAACCAGAAGTAAATGCTAGTGGAATGAGTCATTTTCATATCAATGGACTTAATTGGGTTATGATTTTGAAATGTTGACATCGGTTCAGGGACAGGGTTTGATCTACGTAGCCTATTTTTTCTTTGTTTTTACATTTAAGATGTTCAAGGATTTAAAACTCCGCCACGCGATCAACGCCAATTTTAGCAATATAATGAATATAATAATATAATGATACATTGAGCGCATTGGTCTACATAAGTTGTATGAGTTATATGATAAATTTTATTAATATATATCGATATTTTTTTGATACGGCTATCATCGATATCTAGTGTAAATCTTCTTATTAAAAGTTTATATTAATGCAGATAAATTGGCACAAAACTTAATATAAATATTGTTTCTACTCTTTCTGGCAATCCATCAAGTCAGCCTTCTAGACTATCACACCCTTACTAGTCACAAAGTCCTTGCGCAACGAGAAACAAAAAAAAGTGTGCTTGCGTGTTTTTTTTTATGTGTCATCGTGAGGTGCAGGTTTCTCTTTTAGGTTCGGTTACTTGTTACACACACTATTTTGTCATCCCATTCAAAGAAGCAAGTTAGTCAGTCACTCAACATTACATCGGTTCAAGGTAAAAACGATAATCCTTTACACTACTGTACCTCTCACTTCCTTCTCTCGGTTCTCTCTTTTCCTACAACTGAAATCTGTACAAAATACCTTTGTAATTAAAAAAAATTTTTTTTTTTCTTGTTCCTTCTTCCTTTTTTTAATAGAAACCAAATAAACGGACAAGTCTCTCAGTTTGACAAAAAAAAATATACTACGAACCAAAAAAAAAAAAAAAAAAAAAAAAAAAAAAAAAAAAAAAAAAAAAAAAAAAAAAAAAAAAAAAAAAAAAAGTAAATAAATAAATAATAAAAAATAAAGAATAGATAACGCGCATGTTAACGGTGCCAACCTTTTGACATTGCTTTAACCATGCAAGCAACTTCACTCCCAAATCACCCTTCGATCCTTGCTCAAATGTATCCTAGACAACAAATAGATAACAATTTTCTCAATATACCTTCAATCGTAACATCTCCTTCCATCCCAACTTCGGCTTCCGAGTCTTTTCTTTTCAATTTCCAGCAAGAGCCTCTAACCAGTCCTATCTCTCAAGCAATTTCTGCACCCGTTACTCCTACCAACAGTGTTACACCAGGCTTTCCCTCGCATCCTCCTAGAAGAAAAGGTAATCAAAATAATAGTACCTCTAATGATGGAAAAATTAATGGCTCAAAGAGTAAGTACTTTTCAATTGATCAAATCTTTACTTGGATAATATGAATAAACAGATATTAGTTTTGTTAGCATTTTTTTTGTTTCTTTTAAGTCTACCTTGAGAGAATGTTTCATCTTGTCACATCAGCCATATCATAACTATATTGTAAAATATGTCTTCATTATACTGTTATTACGTATAGACCGACAAACTCATCTGATTTTCTGTAAATGAATTTTAAGCCAATAAGGAACTATCATCGTTCAAGATGAATTTTTTGATCACAAGAACAGTCATCATCATCCATATATCATCATTATTTAGCATTACTTGTGTGATTACCTCTAAATTAGACTTTTGTATTACCTATTTTTATCAAAAACTAACCTATATAACTTCTGTACTTTTTTCTTTGATTATATTATCTTATTTTCCATAAAATCGTTATGACCTATGAAGGTAACAGTAATCTCGCACATATCCCGTGCAAATTCTTCAAAAGTGGCGCATGTACCGCTGGAAAAAATTGCGTGTTTTCGCATAGTAAAGATCCTTCAGCTGATAACTACGTGTGCAAATACTTTTTGAAAGGAAACTGTAAATATGGAAACAGGTGTGCTCTTTCTCATAATTTACCTAATGGTAGTTCAAAAATCAATGGCAGGAGCAGCAAGAATGGTAGTAACGTGAACGGATCGAGGAATGGCATTTCAAACAATAGTATTCCGGAAATTAGATCTCCAATTATGCACCCTCAATATAGTCAGGATGATTATCAACCTTTGAATTCTCCTGGCATCCCTTTTACTCGCATTCCTATTAGTCCTTCTGAATATCATAATAACAAAACTTTCAGTCAATTGACCGCCTCTTTGAGCTTAAATGATCAACATCATTTTTCTGATGAAACTCATGCTACGCATAGATTACGCAATAATTATAGTAATGATCATTTATCTGCTCCCGTAAACATCAATGGTCAACAACGCAGGTCTTTACCAGATATCTTTCACTTGAATCCCGTTAATGCGGCTGATTCTTTCGGAACTTCTCCATTTCAACCTGCTGGATCAAAATCTATTTTCTTACCTGTTTCTTATGTTAGCGATAGTGGTCTGCTTTCTCCAACAATTAATCCTCATCAACAACTTCATAGTATTCCTGAAATCCATGATTATTCTCATCATAATGAACCTATTGGTGATGAACTATGTGGTTACGATTTTGAAGAATATATTCCGTCTTCTTTAAATGAACTATTGACCCCAACTGAACGTGAAAGGCGTAAAAGTAAACAAGAAGAAGCTTCTGAATCAACTTCAAGGCGATTATTCTCTGGTTCTTCAACCTTACATCCGCATATTGATGGTCCAAGTCTTTATAATTCTCATGCTGATCCTTCTCATGTTCATTTCGCTGCAAGATCACTCCCTTATGGTGTCAGCGTGGGTTTGGCTTCCAATTATATGAATCAAAATGATGGTCATCAGTTAGGCCCTGGTTATAATGGTCAACATCTTTTCAACCTTAATAATTCCGGTCAAGGCATGAGAAATCCTATATCCATAAACACCAATTTTGAAGATTGGAATGAATCAATTTCAGTTCGCTCCCCTTTGAGTCCTGCGAATTCTATGCACAATCAATTCCTTTCTCCCACATATGAACGCCAATGCACCCCTGCAATAAACATACCCCATCCTCACGAAATTCATTCATCTGATCAAAATCAAATATATAATCATCGTGTTCCTGTTGGTATAATAGGCAGTAGACCGAGCGTTCATGACCAGGCAACATCTTCACCTCCAGACCCATTCAGTCCTTTTGTTGTCAATGACGATGAGATTATTTTATTTAGCATGGATAATGACAAAAATGAACAACTACAAGAAGTATCTTCCTCAAAAGTACCTGAAACATTAAAAACTCCCCTTTCTTATTCTGAAGCCACCAAAGTAAATTTGAAGGATTCGGGTGCTACTCCTGGTCTCAGTATTGACTCGAGGCGTTATGAGCCGGTTTGTTGATAAATCTATATATATAATATTTCAAAAAAAAGGCCCCATTTAGGGTTCACATGTATTATATATCATTTATTTAGTGAACTTTATATATATATTAAAAAAAAAGGATACAAAAAAAAAAAAAAAAAAAATGTTTTATATTTGGAGGGATTTAATTTTCTCTTTTTTACTTTTTGTACGGAGATATCAAAAGAAAAAAATAAAATATCAATATTTGGGTTTAACTTTATGGAATTATGGGAAATAATATCATTTTTCTTTTTTCGTTTGTGTATATATATTTGATCATGTTTGGCAAAATCACAGCTGTGCCCTTTCGGGATGGCTGGAAACTGCCGTTATGGTGAACGATGCCAATCTCTTCATGGTTTACAATGTCCTTCATGCCTCAAACTTGTCTTACATCCTCATCTTACTCCTGAAGAACATCAAGGTAAGCTAAAAAAAAAAAAAAAAAATTTATATGATTTATTCGAATGTTTAATTTGAAGTTTTCGCTTATTAATTCATTTACTTAATAAATATATTTAAAATCAGTCCATATTAATGAATGTTTTAGCAAACAAATTCAAGTTACTGATGGAATTAGACCAGAAGACATTGAATGTGGAATTTGCTTCGAAAAAGTATTGCTTAAAGATGATGCTCGCTTTGGACTATTAAGTAAGCTAATAAAATGTTATAATAATCATTATAAAAAATAATCATTAAAACTTGATAAAATAATCTCTAGATTGTGAGCATGCATTCTGTCTTCAATGCATTCGCCAATGGAGGTCTAGTTCTAATTATAACCAGAATAATCAAGTCATCCGTGCTTGCCCTATATGCAGGACACCTAGTCATTTCATTACTCCAAGCACTACTTGGTATGCACTTGCAAATTTCAAAATTATACTTTGTAAAACTATATAACATTATATAATTGAATTACTATTTTATTTATTAATCAATGAAATTTTTAATATCTAAGGATTACGGATCATGAAGAAAAACAAAGAATTATCAATGAATACAAACGCAAGTGCAGGTAACTATTTTTATTTAAATATTAATTATTAAGATTCCATATTTTATTAAATTTTTATAATTTACCGAATTTTAATTAAAATATAGTAACATTCCGTGTAAACATTTCAATTACGGCGATGGTCAATGCCAATTTGGATCTTCATGTTTCTATTCTCACGTCAACCGTGATGGAACAAAAGGAGAGATTAACATTCGTACAATCCGTAATGGTGAAGAAGTCAAAGTCTTGGATAATGTCCGATTATGGGATTTCATGGAAAGTTTTGCAGACAAGCGTAATTCATCTGTTGTTGGTGTTACCGCCACTATTAGTTAAGAATGGATTAAAGATCGGGACCAGACAGTGATGAACCAAGGATCAAATGATTCTCAGTCTTTGATCCGTAATCGTTCGGTATCAATTCACATACGGTCATGACTAATAAAGAGTTGATAAACAAATAAAAAAAAAAAACTATAAACTAATAAAAAATTATAAACTAATAAAAATAAAATAAAATGCAATTCAATAGAATTTTCCCAGAACTCTTTCCTTTCCAATAATAATTGGTGACAAAGATTTCCTCCATTTTCAAAGCGTTGAGGCATACGATTATATTAGCATAAGTAATCGTCTAATTAATGAAACAATTGTGAAAGACTTAATTCCTAAATTTTCAAATTCTAATAACGGTAGCTAATATTAATTTTAGTTATAAAATTGATTTATTTATGAAGTTTCTAGTGTTAATGACATAATATTTCTGGTAGTAACAATAGTGTAGAAAAAATTTTTTAATGATTTAAATTATATATTATTATTGTTTCATACATGTACAGTACTAAAATTATTTGGTTAAAAAAAGTTCAATTTTATTAATAAAATAAAATAAAATCTTAGTAAATTTTACAGTAACTTTAGAAAATCGACAGTCACGTGAAGCGATTCGTGAAATCGATCGTTATATACAACCCGATTAAATTATATGTATAGGGGATGTGACTTGGGATTTAAGTCGATAATTATTTTAACTGTTAAGTTAGTCGAAATAAACGTGCAGTCGACTCTGGATATATCGAACCTGCCTATAACAAAATCGGGCTATAAAGAACCATGTATGGTAGAACGGAATTTTTTTGGATCCGGCTCATTTCATCGAAAATCAATTCACCGACGGTACGATTTACCGAAAATCAATTCACCGACAGTATGATTTACCGAAAATCAATTCACCTACAATACGATTCACTAAGTTTTTTTTTATAACCTTAACTCTAATTCTAACCTGACTTTAACGGCAATGACCAGAATTACTTTTTCGGTGAAATGAACTTATCAGTGAATTGATTGTTGGTAAGTCGTACTGTTGGTGAATTGATTGTTGATGAAATGAACGAAACCGGAGTAGGTACCTATGTGATCAAGTAAAACAAGAAGATTAGAAGGTTATGCGCAAGAACTGCAGCAGCAGTTGGAAAGAAAATGCATAGTAGAGCAGTTAAGGACAGACAACATTAGTAGAGCAGTTAATGTTAAGGACAGACAACGTAGAAGGATAAAGACATTAAATCATATCTGAGGCACAATAGAAGAAGTCATACTGATAGTAGCAAGTAAATATCTACTTAAGAAGATAGAATTACAATAACTAGTCAAACAAATAAAATTAATGAGTAAATAAAAAGTAGAGATAAAAGAGAGAAGAAAGATTGATAAAAAACTTTAAGTTCTAAGTTTAGAAATAAGTGTGAAATTGTTTTACATAGATGATAATTAGATACATGGATCAAAAATATTAAAAATTGATAAAAAATCTTTTTTTTAAAAAAAAAAAAGAATAAGAACAAATACAAAAAAAAAACAAATTAAAGAAAATATAAATAAGAAATGTAAAATAATTAAAATCAACTAAAAGTAAATAATTATCTTAAACAGATTTATGTTATTGTAAAAGAAATATTTTTTTATTATATTATTTACTTTATTTTATATATTTTATAGATTTGTTAGTATTTTATATAGTTTTTAATTTATTTTATTAGTTTTAATTGCCTATTTAATAGGTTAATATTTATTTTATTAGTACATTTTTTATAGAAATTTATTTTAGCCAATAGTTGTTTGAATATATTAATTAATATTTATTTAATATTAAAAGATTTTAAATCAAGGATTCAGATTATGCCTTAGATGCTTCAGGTGTTTCAAGATACTCAAAATAATAGAATAATTAATTTAATTATAATTATATAATATTTATTACTTATATTGTAATATTTATTATAGTATTTTTTTTAAAGTTAAAGTTTTTGTTTTTGAAAGGTAATGTTTTATTTAAGTTCTTTTGGACATAAATATCTCTAGAAGTGTTCATACATAGAAGGTTACAACTAGCTACACATATACTTTTAATGCCTAATTTAGTCAACTATAGGTCTTGCCTATTTAAACCTTCTGTATATGCAATTCCAACTTGTTTTACAGTAACATCTTTAGAGTTATATCTATTCAAAGTACTTGATGCAATTGAAGCCTTTAAGACTATTTTATTCTTAACAAAAAACTTATTAAAACCTTTCATGTCTCATATATAGATAACTTAGTTTTATGCAATATACTATAGTTTTTAATACTTGCAGTTATAAAAGTTATTTATTTAACTATTATATTATACTATTTCTACTTTTGTAAAGTTCACTAGAACTCTAGTATCTATTATTATACATTTTCTTCATCATCTCTTACTAACTACTATTTAGAATTAATAAAACTCCTCTAATTTTCAATTTAGATAGCTTGGTATAGTATCTCTTAAATTGTATTGCATACAAATTTGCTTGTATCTTTTTTTTAAAAATTAATTTTTGTAATAAACCTTAATAATTAATTTTAACAATATATTTTTTAAATAAAAAATATTTTTAAAAACCTACTTTATAAACTTTGTTAAAAAACTTTTTTAACTTTATTAAAAAACTTTTAATTTATTAAAGTTTAAAAATTGTATAATATTAGAGCTTATTATTAAAATAATTTTTAGACTTTCTAAAATTTTATATATTTCTGAAGCTAAAAAAAAATTTTGCTCTTATTATAAATATTAATTTTTATACATAAATTACTAAACTTGTAATAATTAAAAATTATAATCTTTGAGATGTGATGACCTAGTGAAGTAGTCAGATTATCAATCTCCTAAGTAATAGGTTAAATATTCAAATCTTATTAATAATGAAAATTTAAATAATCATTTATATAATATTTATATTATAATAACTGTTACTAATAATTAGATTAGGATATCTGTAATGACAATCATATCAACATAACTGTCAGGTTATGAAACATTGTATAACTTGTTATATAAAAGAATTCAAATCAGCATCAGATAATACAAACTCTAGATAAGTTCTTGTAGTCATATAAATATATTGAAATTAAATAACAAAAAGTTTATTTGTTAAAACTCAAATAGAAAAGTAGTCAGATTTTTAGTGGTTTTATTGTAAAAGCTAGTTCAAAAAAACAAATATCAAGGTTATAGTATTTGGTCATAGTATTCAGACAGACAAGCACCTCTAGGTTGGAAGTCTCAAAAGTACTACCAATCAGGTCACTAAAATAAACTAAAGAAAAAAAATATTAGACTAACCTGATGTACTAATGAACTGGTTATAGTCCTAAATAGGCTATCTGAATTGAGAATTTAAACAAAAAACTGAACAAAAGACAGAAGTATACTAAAGTACTAAGGTTATGCTATGAAGTAGATGCTAAGATCTGTGTGAATTCTACAAGAACATAACAGTTAAATAATATAACTCTGATTACAAGTATTGGTTCTGTTATAGTGATATTAAATCAGTTATAAAAATAGATACAGAAAGCTCTAAAAGGTTTATCTCAAGAATAAAATAGTTCTAAAGTTGAAACAATAATCTAAGCATCTAAGTATAATCCAATAATATTAATACAAATTGCAGATTCAGAAGATTTAAAGTAAAACATCTAAATAAGAATGTTATATATAGCAATTGATAGAAAATCTTTAGAAAAACTTCTTAAATAGGTAATATAGAAAAATTATATATATAGCCAATTGTATGCTCTTCTGTAGTAATTTACTAACAAAAAAAGTCATTAATAAAAAGTCAAAAGACCAAAGAGGTCAT